CTGTGTGGACCAGGGGGTGTGGTGGTACGCCTAGGTGCGGGTTTTTTGCCCTGCCAGTCAACTGCGGCCTCTCTCGCGCTCCGGTCTAGACACCGGGTCGAGTTGGGGAAGGAGGTGAGAGAGTGCGGTAGAAGCACCCCCCGGGTCTACCATCACTTTAGACTAATTCACCCGCAAGTCATCATCCCTGCTCCCCCCCCTGCTCATGGTAGACATAGTCGGTCGCGACGGTTGAACTATCGAGTGTCGTCACACTTGTGCAACCCGGTTTGTGATAATAGGTTCGAGGGTCGAACGGGGGAATATGAATCCCCTGAACTACATGTGGTCTCGCGCTAAATTCCAACGGGTACCTATTCCCATATTCCAACTTTAACCATAACCCTCATAACCCAAACTACCCGCCCGGAATTTAGTTCAAGGAATCCCTAGTACCAGGTGGGAGGTCTATACTCCTGTGCCCAATCGGTTGGGGTCTGAGTTAGAGATCGAAAGTGAGTGGTGCTGACGCTCAGGCGGCAATTAGGTCTGACTTCTGATTGGTTACCTGTAACTCGTCTCATTGCGTGGACTGACGATTTACACGCTTGTTGTAGACCCAGAGAACATTCACTGGTGACAAGCTTTTTAGCGATTGCCTTTTTAAGTAAAGTTTTGCATTGATTTTTCGAACCAGGACCGATCTCGTCCATCGACCTTTGGGTCAGGAAAAGAGTTCTCTTCTCACAGCACCTGTAAATTTCCCCTAAGCGGTCTACCACGGTTCACTTAGTCATGCCGCCCAACTATACTTCGTTTTTCTTCATATTAAAAAATTCAAATAAAAAAACAATTATCGAACTACTTTACCAAGCTTTCATCAAACTCAGCTTGTTGAATCTGCTTATGGCGCGCACGCTTTCAAACCTTAAAAGCTGATTCGAATACCGGATAACCAAAACCGCCGAGGCGTGCATTTTAACAGACCTCAGTCTGTAGGGAACTTCCTAAGTAGGATGATGGAGGGTCATATTTTTTATTGGGAAATGTGTTGATAAATGCAAAATGTATCAGAAAGGCATCCCCTGGCACAGTATATTATTGTTCCCAGAAGGTATTGACGCCGGCTGGGCTTATCATAATCCGTGTGTGGGAAATTGCATCCTCCTGAAATGTAATGACTCTGGAAGGAATGCCGACACAGACAAGGGAGACTGGAAGGACCATTTTTGGCCCAGCCAGCCTTACTCAACCCCAAGTTTGCAGTACCTGCAAGTTAAAACCGAATTCTTTTGCCACGGGCTCTAGGTAGTCCGGACCCGTGCCATTCAGTCACGACTTAGTTGCCCTGTCGGTCACGATCGGGACTATTAACTGTCAATAGAAGCGAAGAGACGAGTCCCAGGAAGCAGTCTTGAAGAAGAAATTCTCGCAAGAGGTGACAACCGCGTGAGCCGGGAGCTGCTGGAGTCATGGTTTACTGGCCTCAGTCTACTAACAAGTGCAATGATCTTCCCATTCAATACAGCGTGCTGAGACTTCGTCTAGGCGGAGTAATTGGCCACGCGGGGAGCGCACTGGTGAACACTCTTCCCAACACCCGGGTCAGCGCGTCAGATGGTCGAGCAATCATCACGCCAACATCCAACGCACGTGATGAAATTGCAGCAATTAACGACGCGAAT